AGTAGTATATTTGTACTTCAAAGAGATTGTTGATCTCTATAGCATTCCCAAGAATAACACTGCTGATCTTGATGTTAAGTTTCTCAGCCACTTTTGGCAGACACTATGGAAGAAGATGAGAACTACGCTCTAATTTAACAGTGCTAATCATCCTCGAACAAACGATCAAATTGAAGCTATCAATAGATTTCTTGGCAATCTTCTTTGATCTTTTGTTGGAAAGAACTTAAAGTAGTGGAACCTTATTCTCGCTCAAGTTGAATTTTCCTATAATAAATATATTAACTAGGCACTTGAAAAGTGCCTATTTAAAATTGTTTATGAACTCGTCCCCTCAGTCCATTAGATATGACCCCTTCATTTGCTAAGTAGCAATATAATTATGATACAGATCAAAGGGAAAATGAAGTCAAGAAGTTGCGTAGACAAGTTCGTGAATGAATCCATAAGCAAAATTCCAAACTCAAGTCACAGCGAGACAAACATTGAAAGAGTAAATCTTTAATGTGGGAAATTTGGTTTGGATACATTTGAGGAAAGAGTTTTTTCCTAAACAACCCAATGCCAATTTATCTCCTAGAGCTGATAGTCCATCCAAAATTGTGCAAAAAATCAACAATAATGTTTATAAGGTTGAATTGCTTGGTGCTTTATAGAGTTTCTGCTACCTTTAATGTTGCTGACTTATCACCCTATCTCGATGATGATGCCAACTTTGAGTTGAGGGTGAGTTCTATCCAACCTGGGGAGGATGAAACAGAATAACAGCAATGAACAGAAGAAACATACGTCCATTGCAACACCACCTCAATGCATAATAAAATGCAGTTGTAACCCTTTATAACCTGCCATTTATTTCTTGCTTTCAATTTAAGACTTATAGCAATATAAATAGACCTTGTTTTCCTTATATTGAAATCACAGAATGAAGCAATAAATCAGAGCATTTTGTTCCATTAGTTTCTATCCTAAATTATGAGATCAAATCATACCATAAGTAAAGAAGTTTAGGTATTTGAGAGCTATTATTCAATATAATGAGAGATTGATAGGAACATTTGACATAAGATATAAGTTAGATGGTTTAATTGGAGAAAGGCTAAAAGAATTATTTACAATAATAAGATACTTAATAAACTTAAAGAGAAGTTTTATCAAACTGCTATAACACTAGTTATGTTATATGGTAGTGAATGTTAGATTTTTATATTAATCAAATATGCTCTTAGTTATTATTCTTAAAACATTATTTGAGAAAATTGCAAATTTTAATTTCTAAATTTTGAATAAAATTGAAACATCTTTTAGAAGACATTAGTCAATAAAAATAGCTTATAAATAGGCTTATTAAAAACCAAAGATATTTATACATTGATAATGTACGTTTGGATTTTTTTAATCTGATGCACGAGATCATATAATAATGTGCATGTAACTTAATATGCTAATTTCTTATTGCATCATGTGCACGGAATCTCCAATTCTCCACAACCAGACGACCCCATAAAACAAAACTACATAGCTTATAAATAGGCTTAATAAAAAACAAAGATACTTATAAATTGATGGGAGAAAATGATAGAAAAATTCATTTAAATTATGTAACTAATAGGTTGATCCCACGAAATGGCAAAATTTTTCTGAAATCACATGAGATTTTTCTATCATTAAAGAATTAAAAGAAATAACTAAATTATCCTCAAATAAAACAACGATTCCAAGCCTCAATGCAAAGTCATTTGCACATTTTTGCCTCTGCTTTGTCTTTTTGTTCTCCTCTTTTTCTCTTCTTCATACTCTTCTTTTGGTCTATTTCCTTCTCATTCTCCATCTCCATCTCCTCTTTCTTCTCCTTCTTCTTCTCGACTATTTTATTTCTTTTTGAGTTTTATATATGAGTGATTTGTTTTGTTGAGCTGTACGTGGGTATATGTAAACAATTATTCTTCCTTTGTTAACTGTGTTGTACATGGGTAAATTTCTTCTCCTCCTTGAAAGTTTCTCCTTCCATATGTGATAGTTGAAGTTGATGTGGGTTAATGTGCGTAAATGATTAACGTCTTCATTTTCTTTATTGTACATGATATAGATGCTTACTCATGAATAAATGATAAATCATTTTCAATTGTATTATAAATGCATAAACTAAAGTTGTGAATGACCAATACAAAGTTATGAATATAAGAAGAACAATTGTTATTAGATAAAAGACAACAGATATGTGATTATGATGTTTGGAAAATAGACATGTTGATGAATGACTATTTCATTATTTCAGGTTGGCATGAGAAATGGCTTCTTTTGCTACTAGTTTTGAAAAGGAACTATTTTTTTTCCACATAGGGGACATTTTGTAAAAAATATTAAAAGTAAAATACAATATGATGGGGAAGTGTGAGGATAAAAATGATAAGAGGAGGGATCACACAAGAAGATTCAACCCTTCATACATTTTTGTCAAAAGGATTTTAGGGTATTTTGATGCAAGTTGTAGATCATGTAACTGACAACAAACCCTTATTTAGTTGTCACTTTTTAAGATTTCTTGTCATTTAAATTAAGGAAAGTTGTTATTTCTTGGATTAGATTGGTAATTCATTTTTGCTAATTTAGTCAATTTATTGAGGGTACTGATAAATTACAATTCCTTATTGTATTATTACAAATCTAGGGACAAAAGTTGTTAATATAGAAATAAAAGTTGTGAATAGAAAGTTGCAAATTTTCAACATCTGATGTATGTGAAAACCTGTATATGTAGAGTTGTGAATGACTATTGAATTGTTACAAATTTAGAAACAAAAGTTGTTAAATAGAAAAACAAAAGTTGTGAATGGAAAGTTATAAATTTTTAACATCTGATGCATATCAAGACCTGCACATGCGGAGTTACAAATGACTATTGAATTGTGAATTTAGAAACAAAAATTATTAATATAAAAACAAAAGTTGTGAATAAAAAGTTACAAATTTCAACACTTGATGTATATCAGGACCTATAGATCAGGACTTGCAAATAGTTATTAAATTATTGCGAATTTAAAAATAAAAGTTGTTAATTATGAGCAAAAATTGTGAATGAAAATTTATAATTTTTTTTAATTTGAATAAAAGAAAAAATTGCTATTTTTTTAATTCTCTAATGATATAAACATCCCATGAGATTTTTAAGAAAATTATGCTATTTTATAAGATTAATATATCATTTATATAATTTAAATAAAGTTTCCTATCATTTCCTAACTGATAATGTACGTTTGGATATTTTTGATCTGATGCACAAGATCACATAATAATGTGGACGTGACCTGAAAGCGAATGCTAATTTCTTGTCGCTTCCTGTGAAGTGTGAACGGAATCTCCATTTCTCTTGCCAAAAAAAGAAAAGAAAAAAAAAATTCTTTCTCCACAAACCAGAGGACCCCATAAAACAAAACTATCCTTGGATAATAATAGGTGGGTCTACATGCGCCGATTCTTTTTCCCCTTTCCGCCAAAGAGAAAGAAACATAAAGCACGATGCACTGGATACATATCAAATAGCTGGGACACATGTAGAAGTACAAAAAAATTAGAGAGAGACGGGGGAAATGATCATAATTATTATAAATTATTTTTTATTAATATAATAAAGCTGGTTAGAATTTTAAAAGTAAACAAAATAAATATGGTTGCCAAGTTTATAATTATCCTAAAAGTGAACTTCATTAATTTAAAGAGTTTTTTCGTTAGTTAGAAATTGTTTAATTATCATAAGAAGCATTGGTTATCCTAAATTGATTATTAAAATAATGTTTTTTTTTAACTATCAAAAGCTTTATAATGTAGCCTTTGGATTACCATACATTGATGTTGACCATTCGTTTTAGATGAACTTTCAATTAAAGATATTTTTACAATGTGACAAAAAAAATCATTTTCACAAGTTAATATTCTAAGATTTAATAATATAAAGTAATTAACACCCTTTTGTTATTAAAAGTAGTGGTGAAGAGGGGGACTAGCAGGGACTGTGGCCCCTCTAATTTTTAAAATTTTTTTTTATTATATAGGTGTTACATACTTTTAACTCTCTAAAATTTATAAAAATTTTATAGTATATATATTTTTTAATTTTAGCCCCTATTATTAAATCTTGGCCCTACCTCTAATCAAAAGTCCAAAACATATGGCATCACATAGGATATCATATATATTACTTGTCAATATATACTAATAATTAACTAATGGTACTATCACATGTTATATTTATCTACATTATTACAAGTTATACAGGTATTTGTAGTAAAAAAAAAAAAAAGTCAATTATTGGTGCGTGCTATAGTTATTAACAGACATTCCCCTTTTGATAAACTATAAATTCAATATACATATATGCAACATTTATTTGGGTTAAAGAGCAATTTAACTTTTAAAATATAGGTCTAAAAGCATTTGGGCTGTGCATATTTTTCGTGCAATGTCCTTCCTCAACTTTTCAAATGAAGTAAATTTAATGCAACCCCTACTGTTAATGAAAATTCACTATGATCATTAGTTAACAAGAAAAAGATAGAAAATGATCTAAAAAATCCCAACAACAAAAAGTTTCTTGTTCCGTTTTTTGTAATTTCTGGATTCTTGTTTGTAATATTTAGATTTGTTTTCTATAATTTCCTTTGTCTTTTTTGTTTTGTTAATTAACAATCAAAATTAATTTTTGTTAGCAATAGTGATTATGTTGCACCATTTTCAAGAGTCAAGAAAAAAATATAATATTACATAAAACATGAATTTAGAATTTCAACAGACACTTTTTGACCTTTAGTTTAGAGGCATCTTTAACCCTATTATTTTTTATAATATTTCTTTATATACACATATACATATATGCATATATACGTACATAGATGTATGCACGTATGTATGTATTTTTGTCAATGGCAATAACGTAAAATTTTAAAATATGTTCTATTTTTATCCTGCGCGTGTCTATATATGTTAGGTGGGAGCAAGTGCAAGTCAAGTAAACGTTCGCCACTGATTATTTTTGGCTATCTTCTTGCCCCATAAATCCCGTATCTAGGATGATAGAATCTTTCAGCCTTGTGTTTCTTGCTTTCTGTCTCATTTTCTTGCTTGCTTGGTGTGCATGGCTCTACTTCAACCATCATCATTCTAACACTCCCCCAGGTCCATCAGGCTTGCCCTTGTTTGGCAATCTCCTCTGCCTCCATCCCCAGCTTCACTCCTACTTCACCTCTTTGTCTTCAATCTATGGTCCCATCTTCTCCCTTCGACTTGGCGCCAAACATATCATCGTCGTGTCTTCCCCTTCACTGGCTCGTCAGGTCCTCAAAGACCATGACCTCACTTTCGCTAACCGCAGTGTCACCGTCGCCGGCAGGGTTGCATTCTACGACGGAAGTGACATACTATGGACTCCATGTGGATCCCAGTGGCGAATGTTGAAGAAAGTGTTTGTGCAATGGATCCTTAGTAACACCACCTCCGATTACGTCTGCAGGCTCCGCCGTAAGGAGGTTCGAAAAACGGTGGATTATTTGTATAGTCGTGTCGGATCTCCGGTGGATATTGGGCAGCAGATGTATCTCACGGTGCTGAACATCATCACAAATATGATTTGGGGTGAGACGATGGAGGAAGATGATGATGATGAGAGGGTTGAGATTGGAGCAAATTTCAGGGAAGTGGTGGCGCGTATTGTAGAACTACTTGGAACGCCGAACATATCAGACATCTTTCCTTGGTTGGCTCGGTTAGACTTTCAACGTGTGGAGAAACGAATGCGTTCAGCGGTTCAACAGTTCGACCAGATTTTCGAGAAGATGATTGAGCAGCGGTTGAAGAAGAATGAGAAGAATGGAAGCGAAGGTGAAGAGAGTAAGGATTTCTTAGGTTTCTTGTTGAAATTGAACGATGCACAAGATTCCAAGGCGCCTCTCACCATCACCCAAGTTAAGGCACTTCTCATGGTATCTATCTTTTTCCCTTCAATTAGACCTAAAGTACCTCTTACTTTGGCTTGAGGAGGTTGAAAGCAGTAATACATTTGCTTTTTCAAACGTATAGAAGAACAATTAAAGGCAAGTAATTGATTTCACACACTACAATTAAATAATACTATTAAAATTCATTGATAATTGAGTAGAGAAAAATGAAAACTATGTTCAATTGACCTTATAGTACTTAATTGCGTTGTGAATATTTTGTCGTTTTGAAGTGCATAATTGTCAATATAATTCATGATATTCAGTTGTTTCATGAGGACCTAAATGTAAATATTCTCTCGCACAAACACAGAGAGCCAATAATTTGAGTTGGCCAATTCAATTCAAGCCAAATTTAAAATATCCAAATATATAAAGAAAAACTCGATAGTTCAATCCAGCCCGGTCTAACCTAATTCAACCTAAAAGAATCAACTCCAATTTGATTTTTTAAAAAAATTAGCCTGATACAAAAAATAGATTAACCAGGCTGACTTTTTATACGGGCTAGACTAGACAGGGTATTGATCTATCAGACCATAGTTGGTCCGATTTGGCCCGAGGAAGATATTCTTTTAATATAATTTATTTTAATATATCGGTTATATCTCATCGTTTTCCAGTATTATTTTGTTTTCATAAGAAGGGTGCACGCATGCGCATCCATCAACTTTGCAGTACCGCCAATAAGTAGTCCTCTGTGTGTCTGAAATTGAGTACGAATTGTGCAGTATTTATGGAAGACCTTCTATAAACTGACATTTAGGTGTTTGCTATAATTTTAATTAAAATCTGACATGGCTGCATTCCTAGAAAAAAGAAGTGCCTGGCTATATTTATATGAAAACGGAGTGATAAAAGACGGAGTCAGCTTCTTTCCTTTAAGAGGTAAATTTAAATTTGAACAATTTAAATTTAATTTTTTTATTTTTTATTTATATTTTTAAAATAAAAAATATATAAAATTTAAAATTTTTTAATAAATATACTTATTAATTTAAAAATTCAAGTTTAATATAAATGCTCTAAATTTAATATAAAAAATTTAAATTAAATTTTTAGATATATTTTAAATAGTGTAAATATATTTTGAATAGAATAGTAAATTTATTAAAAAATTTTAATATTAAGTTTAGAACATTAATATTAAATCTGGACTGTTAGATTAATAAATATATTTATTATTTTTTTACTATTTTTACATATTTTTTATTTAAAAAATAAAAAATAAAATATTAAATTTAAATTGTTAAAATTAAATTTAAATGATTCAGATTAAATCTCTACATTAAAGGAGAGGCAGATGATGCTACTCTTACGACACTCTGATGAAAAGGGCGTCCATAATGAAAAGGGCAGCAGGAACACATGCTTTTGAGAAAGTTGTGATGACATGACAACTATATGCAAAGATAAAAATTACACAAGCTTCTAGTTCGCGCTTTGATTTATTATTACTAATTATAATCATCAAAGTGTTGTATGACTTATTACATCACTTTTCTGGCAGTATTTTGCTTTTATTTTGCGAATTATTTAATTATTTGTTTTATTTATGTTTTGTTAATTTATTCTTATCCATATTTTTGTGTTTTATCCTTATGATAAGTTTTGTATAATTATAAGTGCTTTTATTGTCTTAATTAAGCTCACTAGGTTGAATTGTTATCTAACCTAGTCCCTTATCTGATAAAAGCCAAATTTTGAGTTAAACTCAAATGTAGTTAGGTCTATCCAATGTGCAGCCTTGCACTTAACACATTGAGTTTCTAGGCTTATTCAAGCTATCCATCATACTTAAATTGTTATAACTTTTATATTTTCTTTTCTCTTTTTTTCCAAGTCAATTTCAATATTAGTCTTAAAAATTAAGGTTTCTCAAATAGCATATAATACTATACCACACCGTTTTTTCTACCCTTACTAAATTGAGATGAAGTATTAAAAGAGTTAAGAAGAAAATAAATGAAATAACTTTTTGTGTTTATTTTTATTTAACATTTTAAAAAAATAAAACGAACAGTTATAATAACATAACATTGAAACTGCATTTTAGGAATGCGAAGGGGCAAACTGGGAGTCTAGGATTGAGAGAGGGTACGTAGTGCAAAGTGAAGGCTAAAATAAATGTTAATTTCATTTTGTTAATGATAAAAAAGAACTTAAGCTTTTTTAGGTTCGAGTTTGGTTGAATTTCTCTTTAGACTTATTTGAGAGGCCCAAAATAAAAATAAAAAATTCTAAACTCCCAAACATGATCATAAGATTTGTTAGGCTTGGCCCAAATTACTCTATACACACATATTTATGTGTATCTATGTATCTTGAGTATGTACGTATTTGCAACTTTGTGATTGTACAACGTGCAGTTTAAATATATACTGGTAACTATTTTATTAGTCAACGCAAAATGGTCAGTTATTTAATATATCTACTATGTTATTTATATATAATAAATATTTAAAATGGTTTACAAAATTTGATTAACATATAGTAATTGTAGGTATATTTAATTTGGAATAGTATGGATGTTAACATAATTTAATTGATCCCTAATTATACTATAATTTGTGAACAGGATATGTTGGCAGGTGGAACCGACACAACGGTGAACACAATGGAGTTTGCAATGGCTCAAATTTTAAGCAATCCAAAGGTAATGAAGAGAATCCAAGAAGAATTGGAAAGCATTGTGGGAAGAGGGAACATGGTAGAAGAGTCTCATATAAACAAGCTACCATGCTTGCTTGCTGTTATGAAGGAAACTCTGAGGTTGTACCCTGTTGGTCCATTATTGGTCCCTCACTGTCCCAATAAAACCACCAATTTGGCAGGCTACATGATTCCAAAAAGCTCCTGTGTGTTCGTGAATGTGTGGGCCATACATAGAAACCCTTCTGTTTGGGACGATCCTATGTGTTTTGATCCTTCCAGGTTCTTGAATTCTCAAAGAGATTATAAAGGGAATGACTTCGATTATTTACCATTTGGGTCTGGACGAAGACTATGTGCAGGAATAGCCTTGGCTGAGAGGAACTTTATACATTTACTTGCATCGCTAATACATTCATTTGATTGGAAAGTACCTCAAGGCCAAGAGTTGGATACGTCTGAGAAATTTGGTATTCTGCTAAAGAAGAAAACACCTCTAGTTGTTATCCCCACACCACGATTATCCAACCTAGCCTTTTATCAGTAGAGTACATTAAAAATATTATTATGTAGTTGAGCATCAGGGGTCAATAATACAATTAAGTAGTACCACTTTTGTGCATGATTCTCCCTGAAATATGTAGTTTGTAGTATGAAGCCATTGGTTGCTATTCTAATGCCACTAGTGTCTCAAAATATTGCTTGTTACAAGTTTCTTATTTGGTTCAACTTTGAAATGTTAGTTTATATCTTTGACGAATAAATCAAAATTTGTCCAGATTCTCAAAGTCCTTTGAGATTCTGAAAGTCCTTTTCTCCCCCTTGGGGAGATCCTTTTATTATGGTTTGACATGCTCAAAAAAAATTAAATGAACACCTTCAGAGATAGACAGAACAAAGTCGAATAAGATTGATCATGGCAAATACACGAATGTGACTGGAAATTGATCTCGAAAAGAAGTTAGTCCCTAAAGTCATCTTTAGTAATCCCACTTACAAGATCAAGTATGAAGGTATTGGCCTCATTTGCTTTGGATGTGGAAGTTACGGGCAACATAGAGAACTACCCATGGGCTCATGCATATAGCAATGCAAGCCCAAAAAAATACAATGGTGAATCATTCTTAGCATGCAGAGCCACTGGTGCCGCCTAATCAACCCCATGAAACAAATGAAATCTTTGGTGCTTCGATGATGACACCTAACAAGTGTAAACCGTGGTATTCGAGAAGGGACTACAGCAAAAAGATGATAGAGAAACAAGGATAGAGGAGTGTTATGATGTTCATTTTGATATTATCAAAATTTACCACACAATTACAACAAATAATTATAATTAAGATTAAGGATTGCTCATAAACTCACATTATATATATAAGGGTTAAAACTAATAATCTTTTAGAAATAATTGTGAAATATTTGGGATTTCATAAAAACCCTTCAAATAAGTAGTTTGAGCTCAAACTTAATGATTTATAAAGGTATTGGAAGCATGAAAAAGTCTTGAGAAGCAAAATACTTGAAAATAGGGCCAAAAATATTATTTTTGAGTATTTTGATACATGCATTATGGCTTGTGGTCCATGCGCCGCAGTATGTGGCAAAGAGAGGCAAATTTGGCTGCTGCACTGTGCGCTACGGCTTGCGTACAATGCACCGTGTCGCACATGTCCATGACAGTGACAGCTTTTTGGAAAAAATTTTGGATGCACGCCTTTTTTTTTTTTTTGCATTTGATGTCCGATTGGAATGATTCAAGTGCTCACGCAAAGCTTATTCAATAAGCTAACTAATGGTACAAGTTTCGTTACGATCCAACACTGTATGAGAATTTTAGATACTCGGATGCAAACGTAAATTTTTTAAAGTGATTTTCAAATATTCAAGTACCCAAAACTCAAAATTTTTACCATTAATCCATTTTGAGGTTGAACCATGTCCAATAGACCAAAATACACTTGATTGAGTATATAAACATACAAAAACATATCAAACACAAAATTTGGCCACTTAATGCCCGTTTTACCTAATATGGCCAAAACACAAAATCAATATTACACATACCATTTGACCTCTATTGCCACATAATACATCTCATATACATTTATCACCACATGCATACAACATGCCTTGCACTTCTATTAGTATTTTAGATATCATCACAAAAATCACCACATATTCACATTATATACAACATTGGGCTAAAATACAAAACATCATAGTATAATACAAGTGCAACCAATCAAAATGGCATGTATTCCTAATTGGCAACATAATATCATATCACAAGTTTATATACATCACTCAATAAAATCGGGCATTACTATTTGTAATGTAGCAAATCTGCCAATCCTTACCTGATTCTTTCTCCTACTCAACTCAACAGTAGAACCTGTAAAATAATAACCACGGGGTGAGATAAAAATCTCAATAACTAAGATAATCTATATTATTCATTAACATGCCAAGTTATAAACAAGTTTTAAAACATGCACAACAAACATATCATATACAATCACCACAATTCAAATGCATGATCACTAATCATTTAGTCCTCCAGTATTCCTGACCAAACTGGTAGGCTATTTAATGGAACCACACCTCATGTATGGTCCCCAAGCTCATAATCCATAGTAGGACTACCCAGTCAAGGTGTCCTAAACCACTTTAGACTATAGGTTCCCCTTATTATAAGTAATTGAGGTATTGTTATTCTAACACTGCATCTTACGAATGCTAAGAAGCATAACCTCCAACTCCGCACCCTTTTGAGTACTAAGGAGAGTAAGTCTCTAACATCGCTATCCTTTTTCAAGCACTAAGGAGAAATATGAGCTGCACCTGGTGTCTCGAGGTGCCAGTAGTGCCATATAGACTTAATCTCCATTAACTCCACTAGGGTGACCTCCATCCTCTAATATGCCACATTTCACTATACATCTTCACTTAACCATGTATAAACGATTTTCTAAACAAATATAATAAATCTTACCACTTACTTCAAAAACATGAAATTTTCACAAATCAATACTCCACTCATTTTCTAAAATAGCTAACTTTTACAAAATTTATACATATTTACATAACAAATCATAGAAAAGCAACTTAAGAATAACTTATACAAGGTAATAAATAATGTAAATTATTTGGTTACCTTCACCCTTTTTTTACTAAAAGGGTTACCCATAGTACTAAATCTTTTCTTGTGTCAAGACAAGTTTTTCCCACACCACAATCTACCTCAACAAGTACTGTATGTTAATTTTCAATTAGCACAAGCACTATTAGCTACCAATAACATCCTAAATTTCCCACTTCTCACTCATATTCTTAACAAAGAGGCTTGTCAAGTTTACAATTTGTCCACACAATCCCCTCAAGCCTGCTTATAATTTTATCATAATATAACACTTAATATCTCAACTTATCACACTTTAAAACCCCATAATCAAGTTAGGGCTTGATCCAAGTTTTACCAAACAACAAAATAGCTTCATATTACCACTTATCTAAGGTTAAGAAACTTAAATCAAACCTTTAGAATCAATAGAAACCTTTAAAACATAGACTCATAGCTTAATCTATTCAGAGAAAATTCACCCATTTTCAAATTCCATGGAAAATAAGATGGAAAGGTACAGGAGAATGGTAGGAAATTTACTCAAGAGTTTGAAGGCCTAATTTATCTTCAAAATCCTTTCAAAATGATGCCCTAACAGTACTTAAATCTTCCTCCTTTGAGTTCCAAGTTTCTTTAACTAAAAATGACTTTTTTAAATTATTTTCACATTTTATGCATGTGTTGTGCCGTGCGTTGTGCTCATGATGCAGTGAGCAAAATGTCAATTTTGCTCCCCATGATAGCACTTGATTAATCCAACTCCATCCTAACTCAATTTAGAACCAAATATGACACAAAAATCCAATTAGCAACCTAAAAACATAATTAAATTAATTAGTTATCTTTTTAACTAATTTATCCCTTAATTAGTCAATTTATTCTAGATTTAAAGCTTTCAGATGTTACTAGTTTCACAACTACTAAAAGGTTAAATGAGCTTTTATGTGCTAACATTTTACTACTATAGCAGAGATGGATGAGAAAGGCCTAACTTTTAAGGGTTCCCATGTTAAATCTAAAGAGAAAAGTCAATATGAGAAGGGGAGAGATTTGTTCAATAAGAAAAAGGTGAGCACTTCCCCTAGGATAATAAAAAAAAGATAGGGAAGGAGTACTTTACTCCAAACGAACCTAAGAAATCTAGAGAGGAAAAGGCCAAAGGTGCCATAATGATACCTAAGAAATCAAGGTCCAATCCACATGATAGCCCAAATCAAACCATCCCATCCAAGAAGCCACATAATTAACCATACTCACTCTCAGTGGTTGTTAGAAGTACATGTAATATAGGCCATTACCTACCTAGGCCCATAAGTGAGTCTAGTAGATAGCCTCTAAGTGTGAGAGAGATTTAGGTATTAGAAATAAAAAGAATCATCCAACTTGATCCAACTCATTCAAACCCATTAGGTATTAGAAAAAGATACACACCTACCTAAACCTCAAGACCCAAGGGATGCTAGTCGATTAAAGTTTGTTATGAAGAAACAAGAAGCAAACTAAGGAAAATGCGATGTGTATACAAAGATTCTGGGAGTTGAACCTATAGAAGGTGTTGATGCCGAGTAAGCATGTTTTTGCTTCTGTGTCTTTATTTGTTCTTTTAATAATTTTATGATATTATCATCTTAGAATTGTAAGGGAGATAGTGGCAAAGCATTCCCTTTTCTTATGAAGGATTTTGTTAAGAATATTGTTTTTTTCATTAAGGATATTGTTGTTAAGTATAAGATTGACATTTTGTGCTTTTTGAAAACTAGAGTGAGTAGGAATAATGTTGATAGGATTGTTAGAAGGTTAGGATTTTCAAATTAGATGAGAATTAAGGCTATGAGTTTTCTTAGTGGCATTTGGGTTAAGATTTTAAAGTTGATTATGTTTAGTCCAGTACCCAGATGATTTTACGTAGAATCTCTAATTTGTCATCGCAGGGTTAATTTTTGGCTTTTTTTTGTCTATAGGGAAACTTAAGAGATCAAAAGACATAATCTATGGGAGTCTTTCATTTATTTGTCCAATATCATTGATGAGTCTTGGATTATTTTAGATGATTTTAATGCACTTAGACAGCAAGATGATAAGAAGGGTGGTTTAGATTCAACCATCTTTATTATCGTAACTTTAATCAATGTATCTCGTTGGAGGATCTTATTGAGGTTTTGGTTGTCAGGGATCATTTTACTTGGGAAAAGGTAGGGGTCAAAGAGAAGCTGGATTGTGTGTTTTGTAACTCCTCTTGGATTCTCAAGTTTCCCTAATTTAGAACCCATAATCTATTAAAATTTCAATATAATCATCTAGTGATTATTTTACCCACTCAACGTGGGGTCAATAATGTTACCACCCTAAGGAGCCTTAAATATAATAATGCTTAACTAGTCTTTTGAGGATAGCTTTAAGGAGGTGGTTTCAAGAGTTTAGGAGCATAAGAATTAGTCTGAAGGAGCTAAACTCTTTTAAAAAGAGGCTTTAAATTGGAATGATTATAAGCTTGGAAGCATCACAAAGAGGAAGAGAGCACATTAAGATATTTGAAAGGCATTGATAGAGAATGTATGAAGGTGGATAGGAATGGTCTTAAGATATTAGAGAGTCA